AAAAAAAAAAAAAAAAAAAAAAAAGAAAGATTATGGAAAGCGATTAAAAGCCCCCTCAAAAAACCAGAATATACCAGCAGAGCAGAGGGTCAGAGAAGAGGAATAACTAACCATTTCCCCCAGGCAGGTGTCCCTTATCAGGAGCATTCCAGCCTGCCCTGTTTGTCACAGGAACCGGCCCGAGCGGGAGCGCTCGGAGCCAGGGAATGATTCAGTGGGGATGGGGAAGGGCAGGTGGAGCAGGTAAGTCACCTCCAGACAGGAAGGTATAAAAGATCCTTGCATTGCACTACCGGGGCCACTCGTGCTCAGGGAGCTCCTGGAGGTCACTTGTCTTGCCAGGAAAACCTTCCCCCCCCTTTCCCCGGATCTGGGACACCGAGAGGACACTTATAAATACAAAAGCCCCTCTTGGAGAGAAGACTCTTCAGGGGTAGAAATCAAGAGGCCAGAACATGCTTTCCACCTTCTAACAGCACCCTGAACAGGTATTTATCGACTTTAATCTGCTCCACACCTCTTGACTTACTGGGTGTTCTTTTCTCTGAGTTAAAGATCCCCAGCAGGGGACCATTAGAACAGTGCTGGCCACTGTCCTGATGTAGCAGAACTCTTGTGATCTCTTTGTGGGGTAGAAAGAGGTTTTCTGGAACTTGTAAAAGAGTCCTGAAGTACTTAGTTTTTTTTACGTACTTGGTTTTGTTTAGTGAGTTAATTTATTTGCTGAGTTCATGTGTCTCTCAGGGACTGGTTTCGTTATTTACTGGTGTCCCTGAAGTTTCTGGAAAGCCCAGGTAAATATTTGGTAAAAGGAGATAAACAGCAGCAGGGTCTGGAGAGACCATGGGAAGTCTGAATTAAAAAAAAAATAAATCAGAAAATCAAAGAAAAACCCCAACCCCCAATCAATTCTGTTAAAAAGACACGAGCAGAGTGGGGGAGGCTTGACGTGTCCCGTGGGGCAGAGCATGAATTCCACCTGTCTCATGGCTCAGCGCTTCGTGTCTCCCCAGCTTAACTCCATTATCTGTGGAACTGCCTGATCCAGGTGCCACATCACACCCAGGTGTCGATAAAAATAACTGGTCCTCTAAATTTGTCACAACTAAGGCACCTCGACGGTGTCACAACCACCTTTAGCAAAGTTAGAAACGCAGGCAAAAGACTTGTCCCTTCGTTTTAGAAGCAGCTGTTGTGAGTAAACTTCCAAGTTTACTGCCAGGATGTTGCTTTGACACGTTAGAGAGCGGTTAAAAACCCTCAAGAGAACAGCTTTAATTTCATAACACGGGTTGTGAAATCACAGCTTGTGTAAGCACAGGCTCTCTCTTTCTGAGGTTGCCTCCTGCCACTGGTTTTACTGCTCACAACCTCTGACAAACACTCAGGAGCTGCAGAGAGTTGGGTGTAGAGGATGGAGACAGAAATTTAGTGGGAAAAAAAATCAAAACACCCCCCCAAAAAACAAATAAACACACCCAGGGGTTTTTCCCTCATCTCTGTGCCAGTTTAGGCTTGGATTTGTAATTCATCAGCATCTGCCAGATCGTGTTAAACATGCACAGAGATCTGGAGCCAGGAAAAAAAAAAAAAAAAGACATTAAAAAACCATTCCAGCTCGCTGCAAAGTGCACCAAATTTAACTTGAGGAGAAGCTTCACCAAATTTAACATTTAGATTAAGGGGAAGGAAAAGAAGGGAGGTTCTGAAGGGTGGTTTCAGCTCTGCCAACGCCAGCTGAGAGGGGAGAGGGGAGACTTCTCCACCCTGAAATAATGGAGATTTGTTTTAGTGCAATGTGAGGAACACTTGGTCCTTCTGATCCCTTAAATTATCCTTTGTATGTCTCTGGTCCACACTGGGCCCTGCTGGCCTGGCTGCAGAGCTGTAATTACAGCACCAACCTGTACATTTCTGGCTTGTCATCAGCAGATCTCCCAACAGGGAGAATCAAGCCCGGCTAGTTCGGTGACACATCCCCAAAAAATGTTCCCCGGGCGTCCCAGCACCGGGGCTGTCACCAGGAATTTCCTCCAGCCAAACACTTGCTTTGGGGTGAAACCTCTGAAGCAGCTGAAAAGCTGAGCGGGGGTGTTGGTGAAGCTGCAGGTCTGGTGTAAAACAACCTGGACTGAAGGTGAGAACGAGGTGGATGAAATAACTGGAGTCATTTGTAAAGCTGGAATTGGAGCATCAGCCACTCGGGGCTCCTTCCTGCACACCCAAGCAGAGAGCACAGGGCAGCAAGGGTTTGGTGCTGACCCTCCTGCAGGGCTGAGCAGGGGGAAGAGCTGTGTGTCCTCAGGGGAATCGGAGCAACAAGGAAGCAGCCGAGAATTCCCCCTGCTCTGCCCCCAAGGCCATTTCCTCCAGCCTTGCCCGCCCTGCTGTGTCACGGTGACAGGCCAGAGGTGCTGAGGAGGGGACAAACCGTGCCATAAAGCTACTCTCTCCCCTTCCACGGGCTCTCCCGTGACACGAGGGAGTTCAGATCCCACACCTCGGGTGGTGCCTCACTCACACCTGCAGCAGGACCGCAGATCCAGGCGCAGAGCTCTGCCTGAGCGCCCCAAAGGGGCTCATCCCGTCACCCCCCCCCCACGCCTGAACGGTGTTATCTGTCTCTTAGGCCTTGCTCTTGCTGCCACCATAATCCCTGAGGGCCTCCCAGACTAATAGATTGCCAGAGCGAGGCCCCTCATGGAGTCTTCTGCTCTCCTCCCTGCTCAGGTGTCGGGGAGCACCACCCGGGGTAGGTCTGTGTCCTGTGTGTTCTTGGTGCCCGGAGGGAGGAATTCCTGGGGGGAAGGACTGCTCCCATCTGCCATCCTGGTGGTGTCCTGGTGCAAAGGCTTTTGGCTCGTGGTGGATCTCGGTGGGTTCCTTGCTTCTGTGTGCAGGAGGTTTGACTTCCCCTTCGGGACGCAGCTGCCCGGTGTGCTTCTCCCCTCTGGCAGGGATCTCACTCCAGCCTCGGGAGTGCAGTGGAAGCCACCAACTTGCTCTCTTGGTCCTTTTGAGGGGTTAAACGCGGGGCTGGTGACGGGGCGGTGTCTCCACCTCGTTTAAAACGAAGGCTGTGGTTTTTCCTCTCTTCCAGAGGCTCCCAGGGCTCTGTTCCTCTCCCGGGGCTCCGTCATGTCGTGCTTCTCCCAGCTGTGGCACTCCAGCACTCCGGACTCTCCCACCAGCCCAACCCCTGCCTCTCCCGGTGAGATCCCCATCCCCATCAGCCCCATCGTGGTGACCTCC